CCCTGTTTATTATCAGATCATAGTGCAATCAAACTAGACATCAATAGCACAAGAAACTATAGAAACTTCACAAGCACATGGAAACTGAACAACACTCTCCTAAACAATCAATGGATTACAGAGGAAATTAAAGAAGAAATTAGACAGTTTTTACAAATAAATGAGAATGCCAATACAACATACAGGAATCTTTGGGACACAATGAAAGCAGTTCTACGTGGAAAATTCATAACATTGAATGCCCACACTAGGAAAACAGAGCGGGCTCAAATAAACAACTTAACGATGAAACTTAGACTCCTAGAAAAACAAGAGCAAGAAAAACCCAAAGCTCGAACAAGAGAGGAAATTATAAAGATCCGAGCAGAAATCAATGCAATTGAAATTAAGAAAACGATACAAAAAATAAATGAAACAAAGAGCTGGTTTTTTGAAAGAATAAATAAAATTGACAAACCCTTAGCTAATCTTATCAAAAAAAGGAAAGAAAAGGCTCAGATCCATGCAATTAGGAATGAAAAAGGCGAAGTCACAACAGATCCGAAAGAAATCCAGAGGATCATGAACACCTACTTTGAGAACCTGTACTCTAATAAAATGGAAAACACAGAAGAAATGGACAGATTTCTAGATACTTATGAATTACCAAAGTTGAACGAAGAAGATAAAAACATTTTAAACACCCCAATCACAATCAGTGAAATTGAAAATGTAATTAAAAACTTACCAACAAAGAAAAGCCCAGGCCCTGATGGATTCACTGCTGAATTTTACAAGACATTTAGAGAAGAACTACTACCATTACTCTTCAAACTTTTCAATGAAATTGAAAGAGAAGCTATACTTCCAAATTCATTCCTGGAAGCAAGTATCACTCTGATTCCCAAACCAGAGAAAGATACAACCAAAAAGGAGAACTACAGACCAATCTCCTTAATGAATATAGATGCAAAAATCCTTAATAAGATACTAGCAAACAGAATACAGAGGATTATTAAGAAGATCATCCATCATGACCAAGTCGGATTTATTCCAGAGATGCAAGGGTGGTTCAACATACGAAAGTCAGTGAATGTAATACATTATATTAACAAAGTCAAGGACAAAAACCATATGATCCTCTCAATAGATGCAGAAAAAGCATTTGATAAAATTCAACACCCATTCATGATAAAAACCCTGCAAAAAATTGGAATAGATGGTCTATACCTCAATTTAATAAAGGCTATTTATGAAAAACCATCAGCCAACATCATATTGAATGGCCAAAAACTGAAAACCTTCATGTTAAAATCAGGAACAAGACAAGGATGCCCACTATCGCCACTTCTCTTCAATATAGTTCTGGAAACATTAGCCACAGCAATTAGACAAGAGAAAGAAATTAAAGCAATAAAGATAGGAAAGGAAGAAGTTAAACTATCATTATTTGCTGATGATATGATACTCTACATTGAAGATCCAAAAAACTCCACCAAAAAACTTCTAGACTTAATTGACAGATTCAGTAAAGTATCTGGATACAAGGTGAATACCCAAAAATCAATAGCCTTTCTATACACAAATAACAGACAGACAGAAAGAGAAATAAGGGAAAAAATTCCTTTTACAATAGCATCCAAAAAAATGAAGTATCTAGGAATCAATCTAACAAAAGAAACAAAAGATCTCTACACTGAAAACTACAGCACTCTGAAAAAAGAAATCGAAGAGGATATAAAAAAATGGAAAGATATCCCCTGCTCCTGGGTAGGAAGAATCAACATAGTGAAAATGGCCATACTACCGAAACTGCTATATACATTCAATGCAATGCCAATTGAAATTCCAACACTATATTTCACAGAACTAGAAAAAAGAATCCAAAAATTCATTTGGAACCACAAGAGACCTAGAATAGCAAAAGCCATTATAGGCAACAGTCACATGGCACCAGGTGTAACAATTCCCAATTTGAAACTATACTACAAAGCCACTGTGATAAAATCAGCATGGTACTGGCAAAGAAATAGGCCTGAGGATCAATGGAACAGACTGGAAGACACAAAAACAAATGCAGATGTACTCAGCTACCTCATCTTCGACAAAGGAGCTCACCATCCTCAGTGGAGGAAAGATAGCCTCTTTAATAAATGGTGTTGGAAAAACTGGATATCAACCTGTCACAGATTAAAATTAGACCCTTATCTTTCGCCATGCACTAAATTAAAATCCAAATGGATTAAAGATCTAAATATTAAAACAGAAACATTAAACTTGCTGGAAAGTAAGTTAGGCAGAACTCTGGAAGACATTGGTATAGGAAAAGACTTTATGAACAAATCCTCAGTAGCACGGGAACTAGCAGAAAGAATCAACAACTGGGATCTCATCTTACTAAAAAGCTTCTGTACTTCAAAAGAAACCATTAGCAGAACTAAGAGACAATCTACAATGTGGGAAAAAATTTTTACCAGCTGTACCTCAGACAAAGGACTATTATCAAGGATATATAAAGAACTCAAAACAATCAGTCCCCCCAAATATAAAGACCCGATCCAAAAATGGGCATCCGAAATGAACAGACATTTCTCATACAAAGAAGTGAAAGCAGCAAGAAAATATATGAAAAAATGTTCCACATCACTGGTCATTCGAGAGATGCAGATGAAAACAACACTGAGATTCCACCTCACCCCACAAAGAATGGCTGCTATCAAGAAATCACACAATAACAAATGTTGGCGGGGTTGTGGGGAGAAAGGAACCCTCCTCCATTGTTGGTGGGAGTGCAGACTAGTGCAACCACTATGGAAATCAATATGGAGATACCTCAAAGAGCTTGGACTGGAGGTTCCATTTGACCCAGCCATCCCTCTGTTGGGTATCTTTCCAAGAGAACTAAAAGAATCATATCACAGAGAAGTATGTGCACCCATGTTTATAGCGGCACAGTTTGTAATAGCTAAATCTTGGAAACAACCTATTTGCCCATCCGTTGGAAACTGGATAAAGAAGTTGTGGTTTTTCTATAAAATGGAATATTACTCAGCCATAAAGAGCGAGAGAATAGATTCATTCATAGGAAAATGGATACATATTGAAGATATACTCCTAAGTGAAATAAATAAGTCCCACATGTGTAAATACCAAATAGTTTCCCTGGTGTGAATATTCTGCAACAATGCATAAGATTCTAATAAGATTACTGACATTTAGAAATGGGAGGAAAGGAGCTAAAGGTGTAGGGAAGGTGTGATACGTAGGGGAAGAACAAAAAGGGAAAAGAAAAAAATGTGAGAGAATGAAAAGATGAAAATAAAGTGTTTGTAGATGGGGAGGGGAGGAGGGGGTGAAGGGAGGGCAGAGGTAAGGGGAAAAAAATGAGAATCAAGACTTGCCATGTAAAGGTACATGATCCCAACAATGAATGTAACTGTACTGTATCCCTAAATGTACCAATAAACTCAATTAAAAAAAAAAAATAAAATAAAAAATAAAATAATCCTTAATTCTGAAAATGAAAATGGTCCTTGAACATATTTAAGTTGCTTCTCTTTCTTTATGTCTGCTTTTATAGGTTGGCCTCAAGGTTCTTGTTTTTTTCTGAGAAAGAACTGAACTGAGAAATGGAAAGTCTGCCTTGGGCTGAGAGCAGTGGGGACGGAGTGGGCCCACATGAATTCTGATCAGGAGTCAAAGTCCAGAGGGGGGGAGGGGGAAAGGCAGAGGGAGAGGGAGGGTTATCAAGGACATATCAGAGGACATGCACTCTAGGATATGATTCACCAAATGGGCCAGAAATGTATTTGTAACTAAAACACGGGAGAATTTCCTCCAATAATACATAACTCGAAGTTTCTAGAATCTAATTTAGAACTAGTAATTTCCACCCTCCTAGCTTCTCTTCCATCCAAACCATTATTTTCAGTTATTTCACATTCACCAAAATCTAACCCCTGCTCAGGGTTGCCCATTTTATAATCAAAACACCTATTTGTAAAAGTCCCTTTCAGTGGTGTGGGCTCTGGCTTTATCAGACCAGGGAAAAGACTGCCAACCGAGAGGCTTCAGGGAGCACCATGGAGAAAGTATCATCTTATCATCCTATTTCCCAGTTATGTCTTGTGGCATATACATATATATAAATACATGCATACACACGCACGCGCGTGCGAGAGAGAGAGAGAGAGAGAGAGAGAGAGAGCTCGCACGCGCACTTCGTTAAGCCTAAGTAGACTCCTTTCCTTTCTGGCTTACTCATGGTCCAAAACAACTGCTCAGAGCAGTTTTCCACTGGAATCTTTTCTCCCACTATCAAGACGCACTGAGAGCCTGGTCTCAGCTACTACTCAGCTTAACAGAAAGTTAATTCCCACAGAAGGAACTGGAAGTTCCCAAGGCCTCAAAAAGCTTTGGCTCAGGGCACTTACGCTTGACTGCTGGCATCTGGAGTTCCACCTCCTCACTCCTTTTTTTCTTCTTACCCTTTATGTTTCATAGGACATCTCACCATCTCCCTTTATCTTAGATTCTCCAATGCTAACACAGTGCCTTCCGATGAGCAGATGCACAATTAATGTTTGGAGAATAAATGAGCCAGTAAATCGAGATTCTTAAAATTTAGTAAGGTTTAATTCCTCAAGCATTCTTGAATAAACCAAGCAAATGAGGTATGTATCTTTACTTTTACAAAATGGAAGGCTAAAAGGGATACGGAGATGCTAGGATGAATTAATTTTTACATTTTTCCTGAAATTATCAATCTTATTACTGGATTCTTTATATTTCTAAGAAAACTTCTGTTACAGTGCCATGTTGTCTTTCTCTAGATCACAAAATAAGAGGTTTCTGTATTTACTTTTCAATGCAGCAAAACTTTTATTCTTAAACTTGATAAACAGCAACAAAGGTACAACCAATATAATTAAAGACTCTAAATTCTGAAAATATTTAACCTTGTAAGAGGAATTTTTAAAATACCAAAAAAAAAGGAAAAAAATAACTTGAAATTTCCTCACGTCTTACAACCTTGACTTCCCTTTTCCAACATGGAGCAAGGAATCTCCTCAGAGTTTACTGAGGGCCGGAGCTGCTGTGCTTGGTGCTGGCCTGTGTACCGACCGGGGCAGTAGTGCAATCCTCCGCGGCAGTGACAGGCTGAGCTTTCTCTTCTTCATCTCTCAGAGCTTCCCTATACAAGGATGGGAAGTCAGTGGGGCTACTGCCAATGGCGTTGGAGAAAAACTCCAGGATTTTCATCTTGGTGGTTTCAGCATAGGCTCTTGGACCCCACAGGAACTCGTAGCGAGCAGGATCACTGTTGGGTATCTGCCGGTACTTCAGGTAGCGTTCCTGCACCAGTTCTTTAGTGATGAACTTCCTGGGATTTGCACAGATGAAATCCTTCTTCTCAGGATACACCCCGATCTTTTGTAACATCTCCCAGATCTTTTCCTCGGGGGCGCAGTTGCCCTCCATGAAGATTATTCCCAGGACGAGAATCAGCAGGCCGGTCTTGGGTATGCACTGGTCTTCGCTCAGCCTCCCATCATAGGTGAGCTCGAGTGCTTTGACCAGCACGTAAGAGTGGCTAATGGGGTCCACTTGCTTCACATCGATACCAAAGATCATCCTCATCCATTCGCAGGCATTCTTGAAGATCTCGGGCAAGTCATCTTTGTGCTCTCTGATGACATTCTTCACCATGTCTACCTCCGTAACAAGCTCTTTAGTTGCATACTTCACACTAAGGAACTTCACTAGCTCAATCACCTTCTTCTCTAGAATATTAGTGAGCAAGAACTCAGGGTACGGACGAGCCTGGGAGGTGCTCTGATGCTTCCCTACTTGGCCCCTGGAACCTTTATTTGATTTGCTTGATGGAGTAGCTTTTCTGGCAGTGGAGGAGGACGATTTCTGAAGACTCTTGGGAAGGCTTGGTGTTCTAGGAGTGGCAGCAGGCACGTTGTCTGGGGTGCCTGGCATCAGAGTAGAGGAGGCGGCGGCTGTGGTATCTACCTCCTCAGCTGCAGGAACTTGCCCATCCACCAGGGCCTGTGTCTTTCTTTCATCCTGAAGCTTGTACTGCTGATGTTTCTGGCTGTGAGGCATCATACTTTGTATTGGGGATAGCTGGCAGGAGTGTGGGTAGGCGAGGGTGATGGAACCAACTGGCCTGGAATAGAGAAGAAGAAAGTGAGAAACTTAACCTTATTCAACTGAAGGATGAGAGAAAGTGCTTCAGTGTACAGACAGCCACCAGTCTGAAGCTCCAAGGGTTGACTGTGTGACAGTGGGGCAGTTGGGTTCAAGAGCTGTGGAGTCCTCTCTGTCCTGGGGTGGGGGGTTAAGGTCCTCCATACACATTCAGGGTATGCATCTCTTCATGGCTTGTGGTCTAAGAACATGTGACTCATTTCTAGGCCTTCGCCCCCATTCCTGAAGCCTCTATAAGAAGAACTAAGCTGGGCATGGTGGCACAAGCCTGTAATCCCAGCACTCAGGAGGATGAGGCAGGAGGATCTCTGTGAGCTCGAGACCAGCCTGGGCTACATAGTGAGTTCCAGGGCAGTCTCAACTACATAGTGAGACCCTGTCACAAAAAAAAGAAGAAAAAAGGAAGAAAGAAGGAAGAAGGAAGAAAGAGAGGAGGAGGCGGAGGAGGAGGAAGACGAGGAGGAGGAGGAGGACGACAACGAGGAGGACAAGGAGGACGAAGACGAAGACGAAGAAGAAGAAGAACTGAGGTGCTCCCAGATTACAGACTGCAAGCATACCCCAAGGCTGACAGGTGGATGCGACTAAATTCTGTGAGATCTCTACAGTTAGGAAGTGGATGGGGCCTCTCAAAAACAGGTGTGTTTGGAACTAGGCTACTTAACTCGGATCTCACAGTGTTGAGATGGTGTCATCCTGCCTTGGGAAAAGTACAGGGAAGGCCACATGCTCCCTGGCTATGGGCAGAATGCACTCCTGCGGTGAGACAGCATCTGCTGAGGGTAGTTGTTGATATACAGGCATTTGGTGTAGAGAAAATCTGGTTCTTCATTAACTTTATCCTTATACACCCACTCTCTATAGTTACTGTTCCATGAAATTCATGATACCCACCCCCCCCCGTGCTTCTCACTGGCTAAAAAACGTGGGCCAACCACGTAGTTTTATTCGAATCTGTCTGCCAGAGGCAGGTCTCCTCCTGGTCCCCCTTTTATATCTTGAAAATAGTTTCGGTCTCTTTTTATTCCTTATTTTCCCCCCAAAAGGTAGCTGAGGGTCTTATTAGCCCTCGGTACAGGAATAAGAAGGTACTGAACTCAATCTGTTCTTGTGCATATGCATCCTCCATCCTCAAACTGACTGCTGGAAAGACTTCAGAGTCCAGCCTGCTGAGACCACCAGACAGGAGGACAGACACTATATCTGACACCTGGCACCAGGGCTACTCAGGACAGGGGCCCCAGCTCTCCAAGGGCATGGGAGTCCCCTCACTTATTATTCAGGGTCCTTGCCTTGACTCCTAGCAGATATTGAATCTCCTCCCTGGGATGATCAGATGTGGCTACTTCTGCTGATGTGAAGTTACCTGCTTTGGCCAAGGCTGTCACCTCCCTGAGACCAACAAGACAAAAGTGAGGACATGCCACATACAGCAGACCTTGCCCAGGATCCTCTATGGCTGACAGTGAAGGCTCAAGCCAGTATGTCCTTAATTGGTAAATATACTTAGTCCTTCCTCAGGCCCATGCCTCCAAGCCCAAGAGGGCTTGGTGTTTTTCTCCCTGGTGACCTGAATCTGTTCCTCTTAAACACATGCACGCACATGCACACACGTGCGCGCGCACACAAACACACACAAACACCCTTCCTCACTACCAAGCCAGCTAGAAATGAAGGGAGACTCACAGAGAACTACCTGGGGCTTTCCAGAGCTAACAATAAGGGTGACCAAGTTTCTCATAGGGTCTCCTTGCTTTGTCTGGTCTAAGAGTTACCCACAATCCTCTTGAAGGTACTCATATTTACTCTGGATGGAGCCTGTATTCTTTCACTTGAGCTATTCTTAGGATGTACTCTTTAGGCCAAGACATCCATCTTCAAGATGGTAAACAAGAAAGAGAGATAAGTGAGGAGGTTTTTCAGGGGGTTCTTGTGCTTAACAGAACTACCCTGGATCCCTCAGAGCTCATAACAGGAGCATGACAGAGCTGGAGCCTCTTTGTTTTCTGTTGGAGGTCCTCTCAGTTTTTTCCCAGAGTCCTCACCTCGATTCCTGGCAGAGATAAGGCTCTTCCTTTGCTGGCCTATGGCTCTATTCCTTGGACAGAGGCCCTAACTTCTATAAGACCATCAAGAAAAGAAGTGAAGTGGAGCCTCAGACTAACAGACTAACAGACTACCAGGGCCTTGGTTTGAATAAAGTCTCCCTGGCTCACCACCAGGGCAGGATTTGTCTGAAATCTGATTTGGTGGTATGCAACCTTTCCTTTTTTTTGCTGACTTGAGAGTGCTTTCCTTAGCCCAAGGTCTCTATCTCCCAGAGAGGCCAGACAAAGCAGTAAGTGGGATGGAGGGGGCACCTCTGCCTTACAACTGTGTCTGGGACCCTCAGCAAAAAGGGCAGTTTGCTATGGTTCTCTGCCCAAGCCCAACCTGAGTCTTTATGCCTGACAGGGCTCGGGACACCTTCCCTAATTGGCACAGGCCTGGCCTTTCTGAAAGCATTCCCTAGGGTCCCCAGAATCTCTATTGAGGTTCTTCTGGCTTTTGGGGTGGGGTACTCTTGGTTCTCCCCACGTTCTTCATATTTTCTGTTGACAGGACTTGAACGGTACCCTTTCTGCAGAACTGAGAATGCAGTTCTCAAGCCAACATTTCCATCTTTCTGAGACACCAACAAGGATGTGCAGAGGATTAGAGAGGGTGTCTCTGTTTGACTGCCCTGTAAGAAACATGGCACCCGCGCGTGGGGAGGGGGGGCATCGGGTGACGATAGAAGTGGGTTTCTATGACCTACGTTCTGTCTGGTAGAGGTCCCCTTGGCGTTCTCACCTCACCTCAATGCTTTGCCACCGCCTGCGACTTCCACGGGACTTCCACGGGACTTCCACGGGACTTCCAAGGGAAGTGCTTTCAGAAAAAGCAGCCTCGCGGATTCCAAAATGGAGGTAGAGACCGCCCACATCCGGGAACCTTGGCTCCTCCCCCACAATCTTAATGGCTGATATTGCCAGGGACTCCGCACCCTGCAGAGTGGAGGCCAACTTCCTCAGAAAAGCTTCTCTACCTTCAGACTCTAAAAATACCTGTCAGGGAACACATTCCCCTATCCTTGTTGGCATTTCAAAATTGACAGAATGAGTAAGGTGAGACTTATTCCCCGCCCGAACCCTCTACTCCCCCGCCCCCAATGTGGTTAAAAGTACCCCCTCTTCCCTTAAAGCTGTTGGGCCTGGGACTCCTCCGCTAACTATAGTCCACATCCCTCACCTCCCTCAGACTCCGTGGATGGAAATTGGGAAATCGCCAAAGCAGGGTCCCTGCCCGGAGCCTCTCAGCGTCCGTCAACAGACAAGGTGGAGTAGGACTAGCGACCCTATATCTTCATCTTAATGTTTGACACTGCCTGGGGCATGATCTCTGCAGATCCAAGAGGAGTCCCTTCGGAAAAAAAAAAAAAAAAGAAGAAGAAGCTCACTCTGACTCCAAGATAAATGTTTGGGTACACCATATCTGGGAACCTTGTCTCGAGTCATTCAGGGATAAAAACAGGGGCAGGGTCGGGATGGAGAGAGGCTCTTAGTTCTCCTCTTGAATCCAAATAGTATCAAGAAATCCTCTGATTTGCTGGTTAAATCCAGCCCTTTCATCAGAAGTGTCACTTCCTTCCTGCAGAAGTTAGTGTACACTACACCCAGGGACTTTGCTTGGGGTTTATCAGGGCTCACAGCAGGGGTAGTATGCCACGGGTCCTGTTCAAGTAGGGGTAGGAAAATCTCTAAGTCGTAGCTCAGTTCCTCACTTTGATATCCAACACCACTTGGATCCCCTCCCTCAGTGGATCTAAGATCAATCTCCTCTCTGCATTAAGATCACCTCACCCACATTAAAACCATCAATATGGGAGTGAGATGCAGCCTCAACCTGAGAGGCCTGTATGAGTGTCTACCGGCGCTGACAGGAATGGCTTGGTAGATTTTTGTGGGATTTCCTCTGTATTCTGTACTTAAATTTTTGCCTAACTGGACTTAATAGTCCTGCCTTGACAAGGACCCCTTTTGCCCTGATACATCCTCCACAGGACAATGTGTGGACAATAAGGTGGCACTTATTCTTGACAACCCTGCCCCAACTGCCTTAGCTAACACCAGAATTCCTGCCTCCTTCCCTCCCTCCCTCCTTTCCTTCCTCCCTCTCTTCCTTCGTACAAGGATGGACCCAGGGCTCTCCACTGAGCTACAGTCCTAACACTTATTTATTTTCTACTTTAAAACAAGGCCTCAGTAATTCGCCAAATTGCCCAGGCTGAGCTGGCTTGTGATCCTACTGCCTCAGCCTCTCAACTGCTGCCACAAGGACACTATGCTGACTGCTAGGATTGTGTTTCAGTGGGGGTTTCCTCTGTTAATAAAGGGCCTTGCTTCCTTTTGTTGACCTCAGTCCTACATCCTCAGGCAAAGACATTTACTTGCTTGAAAACCTACCCGTTTCTGGTTGAAATCAGGTTATGTGACCTCTGCTTTATTTCTTAGGTATCTAGTATTTTTGCTATCAAATGATGCTATTTTTATATTTTACTTGCAATTTGTAGTGTGTAGAAATTAAATTGATTCTAGTATATTAATTTAACTTGAAGTAATGTGGCTGAACTGTATTAGTTCTACAAATTGTAAGTTCTCTAAGTTTTCTATGTAGATAAGCTTTTCATGGATTAACATCTGTCCTGACTGATTTTCTCTTTTACAAATCTAACACAATTTGTTGATTTTTCTGGTCTTACCGGTCTAATTATCTAGAAATTTTAGTAGAGTATGATTTCTTATAGATGTACAATTATCAACATATTAAAAGCTTTGAGAAGTCCTGAATAAATCAGCTACCAATTAAATACCATTACTGTTTCAAGTCCTAGTTTCAGAGCTTTTATATATGTTAGTTCACTAAATTTACCTAAAATTT